CTACTTAACCCTTATGATCATAAAATGGACTCAAGGAACCTAACCTTAATGATTGATGAAGCAGCCGAACAGTCATGAGCTACAGTAAACAGTGCCTAGTAAAGGGCAGTGTACACACGTAACAGGGACATTTATGGTATGCAGCCATAACACTATTTCAATCCCCGCAATGTATGCTAAAACACCAAGTTGAAGATTAAAGGGTCTGAATGTTGAGCATGTACTTCTCATGCCAGGGAATTCCTTGGGGTTCCCCAGGACTGGGCAAGTAGTCTCTCAGTGTCAACCTTAACATAATTAGAAGACAGCCTCATGGAAAATATTGTCACTATTTCACTTTGAATTATGAATACTATGTAGACGTGGAGACGTAGTAAGTAAAGAAAAGCATTTTGGAAATAGACTTGTTTTACAACACAGTGAGGGTGAGTGATAAAGTCTCTGACCAAATATTCCTTCTGTAGCTGACTCACCACAGACAGTGCACTAATGGTGAAACTTAGGGACTTGAGCCTTATGAAAATACAAGTGTGCACTGTGGTACACTTGATTAATACCAGAACCATGCATCCATGGACACATCATTCAGTACAGACCTACAGCAAGGCTACGTCCACCCCACCAGCAATATAGACACGGGGAGGGGTGAACTTTACTATACATCCATGGACACATCATTCAGTACAGACCTACAGCAAGGCTACGTCCACCCCACCAGCAATATAGACACGGGGAGGGGTGAACTTTACTATACATCAATGGACACATCATTCAGTACAGACCTACAGCAAGGCTACGTCCACCCCACCAGCAATATAGACACGGGGAGGGGTGAACTTTACTATACATCAATGGACACATCATTCAGTACAGACCTACAGCAAGGCTACGTCCACCCCACCAGCAATATAGACACGGGGAGGGGTGAACTTTACTATACATCAATGGACACATCATTCAGTACAGACCTACAGCAAGGCTACGTCCACCCCACCAGCAATATAGACACGGGGAGGGGTGAACTTTACTATACATCAATGGACACATCATTCAGTACAGACCTACAGCAAGGCTACGTCCACCCCACCAGCAATATAGACACGGGAGGGGTGAACTTTACTATACATCAATGGACACATCATTCCGTACAGACCTACAGCAAGGCTACGTCCACCCCACCAGCAATATAGACACGGGAGGGGTGAACTTTACTATACATCCATGGACACATCATTCAGTACAGACCTACAGCAAGGCTACGTCCACCCCACCAGCAATATAGACACGGGGAGGGGTGAACTTCACTATACATCCAAGGACACATCATTCAGTACAGTACAGACCTACAGCAAGGCTACGTCCACCCCACCAGCAATATAGACACGGGGAGGGGTGAACTTTACTATACATCCATGGACACATCATTCAGTACAGACCTACAGCAAGGCTACGTCCACCCCAAATGCAATATAGACACGGGGAGGGGTGAACTTCACTATACATCCAAGGACACATCATTCAGTACAGTACAGACCTACAGCAAGGCTACGTCCACCCCACCAGCAATATAGACACGGGGAGGGGTGAACTTCACTATACATCAATGGACACATCATTCCGTACAGACCTACAGCAAGGCTACGTCCACCCCACCAGCAATATAGACACGGGGAGGGGTGAACTTTACTATACATCCATGGACACATCATTCAGTACAGACCTACAGCAAGGCTACGTCCACCCCAAATGCAATATAGACACGGGGAGGGGTGAACTTCACTATACATCCAAGGACACATCATTCAGTACAGTACAGACCTACAGCAAGGCTACGTCCACCCCACCAGCAATATAGACACGGGGAGGGGTGAACTTTACTATACATCAATGGACACATCATTCCGTACAGACCTACAGCAAGGCTACGTCCACCCCACCAGCAATATAGACACGGGGAGGGTGAACTTTACTATACATCAATGGACACATCATTCAGTACAGACCTACAGCAAGGCTACGTCCACCCCACCAGCAATATAGACACGGGGAGGGGTGAACTTTACTATACATCAATGGACACATCATTCAGTACAGACCTACAGCAAGGCTACGTCCACCCCACCAGCAATATAGACACGGGGAGGGGTGAACTTTACTATACATCAATGGACACATCATTCAGTACAGACCTACAGCAAGGCTACGTCCACCCCACCAGCAATATAGACACGGGAGGGGTGAACTTTACTATACATCAATGGACACATCATTCCGTACAGACCTACAGCAAGGCTACGTCCACCCCACCAGCAATATAGACACGGGGAGGGGTGAACTTCACTATACATCCATGGACACATCATTCAGTACAGACCTACAGCAAGGCCACGTCCACCCCACCAGCAATATAGACACGGGGAGGGGTGAACTTCACTATACATCCATGGACACATCATTCCGTACAGACCTACAGCAAGGCTACGTCCACCCCACCAGCAATATAGACACGGGGAGGGGTGAACTTCACTATACATCCATGGACACATCATTCAGTACAGACCTACAGCAAGGCTACGTCCACCCCACCAGCAATATAGACACGGGGAGGGGTGAACTTTACTATACATCAATGGACACATCATCCAGGACAGTACAGACCTACAGCAAGGCTACATACACCCCACCAGCAATATAGACACGGGGAGGGGTGAACTTTACTATACATCCATGGACACATCATTCAGTACAGACCTACAGCAAGGCTACGTCCACCCCACCAGCAATATAGACACGTGGAGGGGTGAACTTTACTATACATCAATGGACACATCATTCAGTACAGACCTACAGCAAGGCTACGTCCACCCCACCAGCAATATAGACACGGGGAGGGGTGAACTTTACTATACATCCATGGACACATCATTCAGTACAGACCTACAGCAAGGCTACGTCCACCCCACCAGCAATATAGACACGGGGAGGGGTGAACTTCACTATACATCAATGGACACATAATTCAGTACAGACCTACAGCAAGGCTACGTCCACCCCACCAGCAATATAGACATGGGGAGGGGTGAACTTCACTATACATCCATGGACACATAATTCAGTACAGACCTACAGCAAGGCTACGTCCACCCCACCAGCAATATAGACACGGGGAGGGGTGAACTTTACTATACATCCATGGACACATCATTCCGTACAGACCTACAGCAAGGCTACGTCCACCCCACCAGCAATATAGACACGGGGAGGGGTGAACTTTACTATACATCCATGGACACATCATTCAGTACAGACCTACAGCAGGCTACGTCCACCCCACCAGCAATATAGACACGGGGAGGGGTGAACTTTACTATACATCCATGGACACATCATTCCGTACAGTACAGACCTACAGCAAGGCTACGTCCACCCCACCAGCAATATACACACGGGGAGGGGCGAACTTTACTATACATCCATGGACACATCATTCAGTACAGACCTACAGCAAGGCTACGTCCACCCCACCAGCAATATAGACACGGGGAGGGGTGAACTTTACTATACATCCATGGACACATCATTCAGTACAGACCTACAGCAAGGCTACGTCCACCCCACCAGCAATATAGACATGGGGAGGGGTGAACTTTACTATACATCCATGGACACATCATTCAGGACAGACCTACAGCAAGGCTACGTCCACCCCACCAGCAATATAGACACGTGGAGGGGCGAACTTTACTATACATCAATGGACACATCATTCAGTACAGACCTACAGCAAGGCTACATTAACCATAACCAGTAATGGGTTTCACTTGCTGTAAGATATATATGTGCAGTGAGCTAGCTTGTTCAAAAATGCGCGATGGAAACTTTGTTTGAGCACAGTGGTACATTGCTCGATGTACCCAAGAAAAAAGGACCTTATGTATGTTTGAATGGGACTGCGTAATACAGCAAATACAGTGACTACTGTGGCAGGTGTATTTTAGTGTAAATATAGTATTTTAATCATATTATTATTCTCTCCTTTTAGCTATGTTATTTCTAGGCAGTTTAAGGTTTAAGCTTTAGAGCTTGGCCTGTCTCACTAATTGCCCAAGCCATGACGCTTCTCGGCTGATTGGTCCCATTAACTCCATGCACAATTTCACTCATTCTGCACTGACTCTTTGCCATGTAAAGACAGCTTGGACAGACAGTGTGACATTAAGGTTAGTATTCATTTAATTAAAGTAATATTGCATTTAATCCTTGCAGTATGTATATAATAAACGTATATCTATTTACTAACATTTAAAGAGGTATTATATTGTATAGCATGTAAGTGTGCTAAATGTATTTATGCTAGCTTTTAACGCCTAAGGTATAAACATAAATAAGTATCACTAGTATATTCTTATCTTTACTATCCCTTTCACTGAATGTGTGAGATGAGAGAATGTGTTTTAATATAAGTTGCTATGTTTTAACTGTGATAACTATAAGTGTATATTATTTATCATCTAATATTATTTGCAGCAGATAAGTCCCCGTCCATAAGACTGGTGCTGTGCCCGATTGTTGTACACCCTTGTACCACCCACAGGGTATGTGTATATGCATAATTTATATATCCATGTATTTGTATATAGTACCATCACGTAATGCGTAATGGTGTATTATAATCTATCTTCTGTGTATTACATTGTATGCATGTATCATCAGTAATTTCATAATGCCCATATTCCATATGTGTTGTAAATAATGGTATTCATGCTTTGAGTATTATTGATAATTGTCCATATGTATTAACCCGTGTATGGAATTATATGTATCTTGTATGAATTGTGTGAGATGTATATAATATTATTATACTTATTGTTACAGGGTGTCGTGTAACATTCAGCAATGTCTCATCGTGCGAAATAAACAACCTCACACCCCAGCAGAGTGTTGGTAGTCTATGGCCACGTTGACCCTGCTATACTACCATCGGTTTCAAAATCACCTACACCTTGCACTGCGTTCCATGGGGAAGAAACTAGGCTGGGTCTACGAGGAGGTGGTGTGATGAACATTTATCAGGATATTGTGTCAAGAAGCTGTGTGGCTGACGGCAGCACCAACATCTTGGAGAGGGTCTGCAACAACATACAAGACAATGAGCAAAACTACACTTACCAACCAAATGGACAATGAAGAACAATAAAAAAAATCAATAATTGAAAATGGTATGGTATGGTATGGTATGGTATGGTATGGTTTGGTATGGTATGGTATGGTATGGTATGGTATGGTACGGGGGAAATAGCATGTTTAAAAAAAATATCACCTAAATGAATAGGTAAATACAGGTGTAAACATTTGATTAGTTACCATTAATATCAGAATAAGTGCCCAGACGTTTCCATGGTTACAAAGCATATGTGCCACAAAATGACTCATGTGAAGAATATTATTGATTTTTCTTCAAGTTTTTGTTTGAGAATGCAGAAAAAATGATGGCACAATAACCTTTTTCCTTGGGGAGCCAGGGCAGAGGGCCATCCGATGCACAGGACTGGAGAGCAGCCATGGAATAAAGTAAAATACACGATCAGTGAATGGAGCACAGCGGGTGAATGCCAGCAAATATAGAGCGATGTGTTTGTGAGAGGAAATACGGTAATTGTATGCTATGGTTTGTTTACACTGTGAGGGGCGTGATCGGTGTGTGACGATAGATAGGCAGTTGCCATTATTGCATACACGGATCTGGAAAGTCAAGGCAACACTTGGAACATGCGCCAGAGATTGGCAAACAGGGGCGGAAAAATGTGGATGTCAGTGACATGGTTGGGCCCCCTGTTCGACACAGTGGCAGGTCCAGCGAGATACAAGGAGAAATGTGACATAATACATGTACGAGTAATCTTACATGGGTGCCTGAGCTACGACGTTGAAGCGACAAGAGATGACATGAGGGAGGGAGGGAGGGAGGGAGCAAGCATGGGCTGGTGTTGCAGTGACAGCCACATCGCCAGAAGAAACGTGAGCCGCCATGGCCAGCTGATGGGGATACAAACGAGGCGCTTCTAAAGTGGCCTGTGATTGGCTCTCGCCGCTTCCGAGATAGGCGGGTGGCGCCGACTGGCTGAAACGTGTGTTTTTGGTTTGTGGTATCACCCTTACTACAAGTCTCTAGTTATTTTAAGGTCCATGGATGTGTGGTGTTTGCATTCTTACAATGCGCCAGTGTAGATGGGCGTGAATGTTTTCCAGCGGCAACTTGTTATGATACATTTGCATACAGTGCATGAGTTACGATTTCAAGTAAGCGTGATTTCATGCACCGAGGGACTTTGTGCAAGTCTAGTGGATGGTTGCGGGAGTCGGTGACAGACAGCTTGTCGGGTGAAATTGACAAACAAGCACAGGACGGCTGAGGTGATGTGGCGAGTGTGAGAGAGCAGTGGACACAGGCATTAAGAGTGTCAGTGATGACATAGCGAAAGAATGATTGGTTATTTAAACAAAGAATAGAATACATTAACTACATATTATGGTTTGTTTTATCCCCCCATACACACACACACACACACCCACAATAAAACACCCAAAACCTTTTTTGGGGGTCATGCACCTTAGTTCTCTAAAAAAAAGAGTTCTTGCTGAAATTGGGGTCTGCTCCTTCTGAAGGTTCCGCTGTGACAAAGTTATTGGTGCCATGCTCCCCCCCCCCAGGTGGAACCTACACCCACATGTATTTCCATGAGACCCAAAAGCCCCGAATAGCGATTTTCAATGTGGGTGCAAATTGTCTGGAAACCTACAGTTGGCCACCAATATGCTGTGTGGAACAACACATTCTTGCCTATATGTACACAAGATTATTTATCTGTGCCCTGGACATTGCACGAAGTCGGACGCTAAATATAGACTGTGTGCATGTCCCATCGAGTCAGGGTTCTATTCCGGGGACCTTAACTTGTTACAAAGCATTGAATGTATAATATCTAAAGTTTTGTAAATACGCAAACTATGGTTAAACCACAAACACAGCCACTATTTATAGAGTAGAAAACTGAAAGAACCATACTATTTTTTTTAATGTATGCAATATATTTGTAGCATTCTAATATTACAGGTATATATACTATACATTTTCTCAGCGCACCTTTTACAGTATAAAATTTTTTTTATTAAAAAAGGAGGGGAAAGGTGTATGCGAATAATTCATGCATGTAGACCTTGCTAATGCATCTACATTATTGCAACTTGTGTGGAAGTTCAGATACATGCATGCTCCGAATGCCACTTCCTTATGCCATAACTAAAGCACTGGACTTGCTACCTGACTCTGGGTAGTGGTTTGTCAGGCTGTGGCATAGCGACTCTGAAACAGGTTGCTGAGCAGTCTCTGAAAGTAGTACAGTAGAATAAGACCCACTGAGCACAGTATTGGTATCTTGTTTCAGTATAGTAAGAAACATACTACCTGGCTTCCGCACGCACGCAAGCACGCACCACACATTGAATATATAATGAACAGCAAAGGAAACGCAACTATAAATTTTTTAAAATCTGTTATAAGTAAGCGTTCATGTTTATGAACCGTTCATGGTAAAGTGACGTAATGATCCCAGATGAGATGATGTGCAATTTGACGTCCATACGGACCAGTCGCACAAACACACCCACGGTGCAGCAAAACCATATGTTTAGCATGCGCTTCGACGGTTGTGGGTGGAAAGCGTGCATACTTTATAAAGGTTTGTTTCAAAAAACAGTTCAGGATTGACACTAGGAGGTGTACACGCCACACAAACGAAGCATAGACTAACGACTCGGCAGAGGGCAAGGGCCATTGGAAAGTTGCAAGGAGGTAGCTCTGCAACTGCTGTAGCTAGACAATTGGGCTGTCATCTTACCACCATTACACAACTAGCTCAACGTCATCAGGAAACTCGGGTTGCTGCTGATCGCCCCTGTAACGGACGGCCACGAGTGACAACTCATGCGCAAGATGGGTTCATCCGGTTCACTCATCTAACGAACCGAACCCAAGCAGGAACAGTAACGGCAGCCTTAGTTCAGGGGTCAAGGGGAGCAGTGTACAACGATACGATTAGGCATCGCCTTCGGGCTGCTGGAATCCACTGCCGACGGCCATATATGTGGCCAAGTTTGACACGTCCACATTGCCAGTGACGTTTACAGCCCTCACACAGCAAGTGTGTCGATGGATTATCTGGCTCAGAACAACATTTACGTTCTTCCGTGGCCGTCTCTTTCCCCGGATATGGCTCCCATTGAACATTCTGGGTCGAAATTGGATGTAGGAGTTGCTGAAGGTAGACAGCCACTGACACTTGTACAGTTGCAACAGATTGGTGTTAGAGTGGAACCACTTGCATAAAAAATTCTTGCAGATTCTAGTGAACTCAATGAGGCGACGTTGCACGGCCTGTGTGCAAGCTCAAGGTGGCTATATGCACTACTAAACGGACTGTCACTTTTCACGTTCAGGGTATCTCCATTTGACGGACTGTGATCAATTTGAACTTATTGCCATTCAATGTCAACAGCAACTTTCAGCTGTTAAATTGACAGTGATTTCTATGGATGATTTCTGTGGAATAAATGATCAGACGTAATTTGGGTTGTGTTCTATTTGAAAACTTGACAAAAATCCAGACTTGCGTTTCTTTTTGCTGTTGGATTACAAAGACGAAACACGCGGGACTTAACTAATATTTGCAAAATTCCGCAAAAATTTGATTTTGATCTTTTGATCGTATGTTATCATTCTGTAAAAGCACCTCCCTCCCTCCCTCCCTCCCTCCCTTCGGGCTGGCTAGCTGCAAATCTAGGGCGGTCGGTGAGACGGGCCTTAATTCATACACTGCTGTTGTTACTGCAACATACCGGTGCGTAAGAAATCAATTAATAATGTTAACAAATGTTTTCGTTTTTGGTACTGAATTCATAAACTGTGACTATGGTAACAGTTTGTAGTATATGAAACTAATGTTGGCTTGCAAATACAAAGGTAACGTGTGACTGTGTAACCCTAGCCCCAATTCTACCCGCAGTACCTAACCTAACCTAACCTAACTCCCAGATCGAGCCAACAGCTTCACTGCTAACCCTAAGCCGAGCTTTGACTCTAATTAGCCCTGCCCTGCCCTGCCCTGCCGCCAGGAATCAGTTGTACTGAATCAGGACTTTCACCTCAGACATGTCAAAAAAGTGTAGATAAAATATAAGTGTGGTTTCAGCTCCCGTTGAACCCTCGCAGCTTAACACGACATTCATGGTAATATCTGTGCATGAACAAGTCCACATAAAACAGATAAACCCCTAAAATACAGGAATGATGGTCAATTATCCTCTCTGCGTATTACTGGACCATACACAGTAACATTAGTACTTATTGGCCAATACCGTCATTACAGATATCCCGTTCCACACAGATCCATTTAAGGTTAACAACAAGAATGCGAAAAATTGAGTCTGGTCTGGTCTGGTCTGGTCTGGTGTGGTCTGGTCTGGTCTGGTGTGGTCTGGTCTGGTCTGGTGTGGTCTGGTCTGGTCTGGTCTGGTTTGGTCTGGTCTGGTCTGGTCTGGTCTGGTCTGCAAAATGTGCAATCGTCTGGAAACGTATCACGTCAGAACTGGCGATAATGACGTCACGCTCTCTGTACTTCAGTGAGAGTGATCCTGCATTCATGACCAACTCGTATTATTCCGGGACAAGCCGAATAGCGACTCGTGCCCCCCTGGAAGGATATCATATTGGCGTAGGAACATCATAACTACTTCAAACAAGGACGAACAATTCTATTCCTGGTTGTTTGATTCCAGTGATATTTAATATCACCGAAGTACTCATGCATTGTATTGCTGCTTTTCTTTTGGCTTAATTATTTTAAAGACTTAAACCTATTTGATACAACTAAAACAATATTCTGACGTAATCATTACCAGACGTTCACCTTTATTTCTAAATTGGGGTTAATAAACACAAATGGGATTTGTTTTATTGAATATGGAAATAAAATGTATAAAAAAACCTCCCAGCTACATTAAATCCCAAAGCATAAACTCAAAAATGGCATAAAATATTTCTCAAACTGAACATTCATGTAACCTTGTTGTCACACCCCAAGTGAAACTTTAAATGAATTCGCTGAAAAATATCTGACCAAAATAAAGTAAGACTACAATATTCTCAGAGATGCGAAATATATGCCCAACGTTAAAGATTAAAGGTGATTAGTTACATACAGATATAGTATTATTGATTTGAAACTCGTGGCGATTTATAATTACATTCCCTAAAACTGTTGCAAGCGCACGTACAATCTCCTGAACAAGCCCGTAGATCGCCAGAAATACACTCAGTTTGACTCATGACAGCCGTTATGTAAATAAACGCACATTTGAATATCTTACCGTCAATAGCATAATTCTTATGAAAAAATTCACATTAGACAGCACAATTCTGTCAGCTGCGTTCTTAGTACTTTCAGTGTGACCGTATATATATTTCATCATTTTTAAACAATAACATATTGCCATACACGATTTAAGTCGTCGTGATTATTTTAATCAAAGCATCACAACCATTATGCGCGTTCTGATTGGTTTGTGGTATTTACGTACATAACACGCATTGGCGGAAGCCTAACTGGTTTCCGTGTTTTGTACCCGATGCAAGCTTACTTCTATTAGACAGGGGTACAGTCAAGTGTCAAGCAGGACCACAGTGCAAAACGACTGGTTCCCGGTTGCCACGCTTCAAGTATCGTTGCACTTGCTCGGCCTTCCAAGGCTGTTGCGGGAACGGACAGGAACCAGTCTCGAGGCGAGGGGGATAGTAACAAGAATGTACAGAACATACAGCTGTGTGTAGCTTGCATTATGACCCGAGACACTCCAGAAGTAGATTACCATATTATTTAAGGATGTGCAGGGCAATACTGTGTGTGTTAAATATTTATAGCCTGGATGCAAGTGTTAGCTTTATTACAAAGTTCTTTCGCTTTCTGTAACAGATACTCAGAAATACAAAT